CAGATACAGCTGTGCATGAGCATCTTGATAGCTACTTCTGACAGACTCCAGAAGTTCACTTTCCCTAATGCCTTTTTTGGATTTCTCACAGGTTTTTACTCATCCTGTCTTTCACAAACAGGAGAGGTTAATTCCCCCAGCTGCCACATACCAACACAGAAGTTGTGGTGAATTAGAATGAAAGAAGCACAGACTCAATCTTCTAGGTGAAAAAGACTTGTATTGGCTGAGATTCTCTGTATGTGTGTTGCAATTAAACCCCTGACACCACTGGCAGCAATAAATACCATGGCAACACAGCATCCTTCCCAGCATTTTCTGGTTGGATGCACAGCCTCTCTAACCAGCCCAACTCCTGGAGCAGAAGGCAAGCACCGAGAGCAGCTCATCAGCCAGGGTCTCCCCAGCCTCAGGGTTGGGGCACAGTGGGCATTTCCCACTGGGTGAGGGGCCCAGTGCTCTCCCTGAGTTTGGGTGGGGTATTGCCCTGCACCAGGCACACGCTGAACAGGAATAGGTTTGATGTTTCCTCAGTGCTCTGGGAGCAAATAAACCCCATTGCTATTGCACACATGTGTGAGGGGAGGGATTTGCTGCAGTTCAGTCCCACTGGCTCTCACAGCACAGAGGAGCTGGTTTATGCTGGTTGTCTTTACCCCATTGCTATTGCAACCAGAGTCAGAGTGCTTCCAAGTTTAACACAGACACTAAAATGCACCACAGAGCAACTAAAGAGCCTCCATTGCCAAATGCAGAACTTAAAACTGTGTAGGCAGCACCCACCTCCCCACAAGCTGATGCATTGCTGACTGTCCCCACGAGTTCTGCTGCTGCCCCAGGACTTCACACCCCCTGGCAGGGGTCCCCAGCAGCTGCACACTAATTCACCACCAAACAGAAGAACCTGCAGCTATTTCTGAGAAAAACCAGAAGCCACAGCACCCTGCCTGTGCTTTAGAAACCTCCTGTCCCTGCTGTGGCTGTGCTCCCAGGTGGAGGGGATGAGGAGCAGGGGCTGGTGCAGGTGGCCTGAGGCTGCTCACAGCTGCTGGGGCTGCTGCTGCCCAGCTGAGCACAGGGAGATGGGCAGCGTGCACAACACCAGCCCTTGCAATCTGGCACCTAAATCTGGGCAAAAATCTAGGTAATTACCCTTGGTTTGAAATGCTGGGGGGAGAGAAACTCTGATGGGGAACTTTGTGTGGCTGGTGTTACCCCTCCTGTGCTCACTGAGGCTTGGAGCACTGCCAGAGAGGCTGCAAAGAATGCAGTAGCAAAGAAAATAATAAAGAATTCAGAAAATGAGCACAACAGCCTCTAGAGACCTCAAAAAAAAAACCCAACCAACCAACCAACCAAAAAACCACCCAAACAAAAAAAAAAAAACCACAACCAAAATAAAACAAAACAAAAAATACCCCACACAACAAAACAAAAAAACCCAAGTGAAAGTACATGCCCTCACTATGGTAATTTTCCCTTTTCTAGTGAGGATAAGGACACTGTATAACATGATGCAACAGAAAGCTGGATTTTCACCCTGGCCAGAGAAACAATGCGAGTGACGAGAGCTCCTGTCACAGCACACAGGACAGTGGATGCAGAAATGGTGCTAAAAATAGCTCCTCATTGTGCTGCTCTCCGTGCAGTTCCACCCCAGCTCAGCACTCTGACAGCTCCCGCTGCACTGCTCTTCTTGTGGACATGAGATTGACAATCCCATGGAGGGTCTTGGTACAGGTGACAGCCACATTCACCAGGCCCTTGGGGGAGAGGATGGACAATGAGCCACAGAAATGGCTGCAAAGCTCACAGGGCCCAGGCTGACACCCTGAAGACTAAAACTTTGTATGAACTTCCAGCATGGCTTCTGGCCTGCAGGAATGACTGCTGGCTGGGATCCTGTCTCGTGTGTCCCTCCTGATCTGAAAGGATCTCCCATCCCCATGACCTTTGGTTATTGATTCCTTTGCTGAGGTAGCCAAGAAGATAACATTAATTGCTGCCTGTTGCAGCAGTGTCACTGCCAGGGCCTCCCTCTGAGGGGTTTGTCTTTGTGTAGGTCCATGGTGAGGTCACATTCTTCTGCAAGCAGGTGACAGGAAAGCAGAAGGTTCTTTGATCTCTGGTTTCCGTGAGTTTTGTAAAAGTTCTCAGATACTGCAGCAGTGAACACAGTCTAAAACACAGACCAACTACAGACACGTGTGCCTTCAGGGCATGGGATAATCATTTCAGACAGGCCACAGCCTGTGATGATCTCTGGTGATCTCTTTTTGCTCAGCAGATACCTGAGCTATACTGAGGTCCACAGCACAGGACACTGCTTGGGGTGTCAGGATATTCACTTTAAAGGGCACCTGAGTTTAGTTTACAGTGAACCTGGAAATGTGAATCTCTTTGCACTGATACACAGCAGAAAGAAATCTGAAAAACAACCTGAATCATTTACAACCAAAGCAATAATATCCCACTGCTCCATTGATAACACTTGAGATACAAACCAACAGCAACAAAACTGCTAGCCAGAAGTTCCAGAGAGTAATTTAAAACAACCTTGCTGATCTTACATATTCAACACAGAGAAAAGCACACCAAAGCAACTGTAATGTATAAAATAGTTTATTACTATAATAAATAAAATTAAACTTCTTTTTTTACAAATATTATTTGTGCTTGTTTAAAAATGTTGACTAGGGATATCATTAATGGAGGTGGCTGCATTTGTATCTGAAACATTCCCAGACAGTGTGTATACATACATACATACACACACCGTCTATCTACTGGCAGCTGCTTTGCTGACCACAAAAATAGTATCTACTCATTCTCTGTTTCTAGTCATGCTTCATTGAACAAAGTGACAAATGCAAAGAAAAAGAACTGAGAGTATTTGGTGGATTTCTGAAAGGATAAAAACAAGTGAAGTACATTGAAAAGCGCCAAAGCAACTGCATTAACTGCATATCAATCAAGTGTCCATGCAGTGGTGGCTAAATATTGAAACGCAGACAGGTCTCCAACAGATGTACAAATATTGATTGTATGTAGGTACAGTAATATAACACATTCATTGGAAAACTTGGTATTTCTTTATATAGCAGTTCATCCTGATACAAGATTATTGAACTTCTTTCATCTACAGCTAAAATGATTCTTTTTCTATGTTAGTGGTCACAGATTTAGTGGGAAGAAGAAAGAAACCCGTGAGCCTTTCAGAACAGTTAGTGAAAACCCCAAACTGTTTTGTTAACATTAGGCATTTGGATCCAGTTACAGAGATGTTCTGGGATTACACATCAAATATGTTTACACAACACTCAACAATCAGCTTGAAACAAATTACAGTTGCAGGTAAATTCACATTAGCTTTGTTAATCTGTAAAAAAAGCCTCTAAAACACTTTTGCAATATGACAGGTTGGCTCCCTGATATACAAAAGTGTTTAGACAATATCTATGTCTCTTTGTTTTATGAGGGGAGAGGGCAATTGGAGTAATTGATTATCCTAATAAGAAGGCAATAAGTGGAGAAAGAAATGTGATTACCAGCAAGTGATTTCCATTAGATTTAGAAAGCTAATCAAAGTGCTTCATCTTTAGGCAACACTGTAAATACTACAGAACATTAAGAAGGAAGAAGAATGGAATCACAGTTTGAATTATATCACTTATGAAAGGGTCTTAAGGCTAAATGCTGGATATATCTTATTGCAAAAAAAGCTTTATTTTTATTTAATTGAATCAATGCTTCCCACAACAATGTGGTCAAAATGATGTCAGATTGGAGGATACAGTATCCTACTGTGCCTCACCTCAAATTTCTGGAGCTCCCCCTGCATGGGACTCTCTCTAAAAGGTTTGTCTTGATGTATCACAAGTGCAGCAAAAACACAGACTTTGTTATTGCCAATACACCCACAGGAGACTATGTGGAAATGAAAAATTCAGTAGAAGATGCTTTTTGCCGCGTAACACCAGGACAAGAAAGCAGAGCTGCAGCAACCATGTGTTATGCTGCCCATGAGAAGAAGGATAGGCTCAGCACCTTTGAGACAGCCCCTGGTACCAGAAAAAAAAAAATCCATCTATTCCACCATCTCTCCTGCAGGAAAAGCCATGATGAACACTACCAGGGCAGCTTGGCTTCAGAGATACTGTGAGCAACAAACACCAGCTTCTAAGCCTTATCCCCACCAACTGGACACAGCATTTTTCCTATTTCACAGGGATTTCTCTTTCCTGACTATCATGACCCTCACCAGATCTTCTCTTAGTCACACTATTTACCAGACTCACAGTATGAAGTTGAGGCCAGCTAGAAAAATCAAAAATCATGGCCTTAAAAGTTCAACAGTTAACAAACAAGACACTAACAGGACACTCAGTGGATGTCTGCTGGGAAGATTTAAGCTCCCTTCTTGACTGGAATCAATGAGGAATGTGCTTTTACGTAACAAATGCAATCCATAGACTTATCTATACACAGATATTATATATACGTGTGTGTATGTACACGCATCTGCACAAGCGTAACCATACACCTTGTTGTTTATATAGCAAAGACAAATTATGTCAATTTTTTCACAGATTGGTTAAGAGTGATTGAAAATATATCACCAGATAGTCACAGTAAGTATCTTGTTCAGTTCATTAAGGGAAGTGCTGTAGAACAGAGCATCGCCTCCGGAGCTGTTAAACAGGGTGTTCGCTGGGGCTCAGGGCAGAACTGTGGAAGAGATTTAAAGGAAGAATGGTGTTTTCACAAGTATACTTGTAATACCAGACAGAAGTAAATGTATCTGAACAAGGTAGGGGTGAGGGCTGGGGTTTGCTTTTTTAATCCTTTTTCATATGCTGCATATTTTTATTCTTTGTAACCATTTAAGCATGAACTTTCAGAAGTTCCCATTTGACCAAATCATAATACAGGCTCCTTCCCTCAACTACCTTCTTTTGGCTGAAATTTAATTACACCATCTAGTCAGAATGGAACACATCATCTCCTTTAGAATGATGCAGGTCGTTTAGCAGGTTGTTAAATGGTAGAAGCACTATGCCAGAACACAGTCAAAACTGAGGCTTTGGTTTTTGTTTGGGTTTTTTCTTTATACCATCTACAAGCATTTCCTTGTGAAGGGGCAGAGTCTTATTTTCAGAGATCCTTCAGTTCTAAGCTGGAAAATAATTAAGTGAAAAGGCTTAGCCAACACGTAGAGAGGAACAAGAGAAAAAGGAAAAGCTGACAAATAAAATCAAAGAACTAATAACAATTCTGATGGGTCCACATGCCATCCAGCCATAGGCATCTGTCTGAGTGTAAGGCTCAGTGGAGAAAGACAGATTTGTAACACAGGGGCTTTCAGCCACTCTTTAAAGGAAAAGTGCTGCATCAGCAGAGCCTGAGCACCGTAGCACAGGTTCAGATTAGCCTGGGGTTCAAAGGAGTGGGCATGGATTTGTTAATTTTTTAACCACTCAATAGTCCAGGGAATCCAAACTCCAAAACTCATCCTAGACTGTATTTTTTTTCAAATTCTCTTACAACAAATAGAGGTTGCTGAGGGATGATGTACTCTTCTACAACCAGTGTTAGTGCCGGACAGTTCATAATGGCCTAATCTCAGTTACAGCTGTACTGGTCTGACTGGCACTGACTCCTGTCAGGGCTCACCTGGAGCAGACACCCTGAAGTGTCATTGTAAGGAGCAAGCAGAGTTTCTCTGCCATTTCCTGACCATAGCAAAGGTAAATTTGGCCATAATCTTCAAAGACATTAGGTTTTAAGTAGAATTCAGGTGTATGTTACAATCTTTGAAGGCTTTACAAATAATAAATGTCTTTATAGGCCATTGTAAGAGCCTGAAAAAAGCCTTAGAAAAGGACTGGGTTCACCCAAACACTGTTATACAGGGTGGGGAGGAGTTTGGTATCATTCTGAGCATCAGGCTACACAAGGAGCATCCCCAGAAAATGGTGACTTGTCTGCCTGTGTTCACAGCCTGGGCAATTATTACAATTAGGGGTCTTCTGGGGCTGGTCCTGGTGGGATTCCAGGCTGGGCAATCAACAACAGCAGAATAACCTTTGACATATCCCTGAGGGCACACAAAAATATCACTGAGAAACAATTCAATTCAGTATCAGCAACAAAGGGCCGGTAACCTGCAACTGCACATTTACTTTTAGGTTTGCAGTGCAGTTCTGGAGATACTAGGCACATACTTGGGAGGTTGTAAACATTTCCTCCCTTGTCCACCTGGGATAAGCTCAGGTCCATGTTTATCCAGCTGCAGGTATATGGGTGACACTTTCACAAAGGACTTGCTAAGACCTTCAGCCTTTCAAAAACTTCATGAAGAGAAGTGTCGTGAATGTCATGCTGGTGAGGAATTTGCCTGGATCAGGAAACTGACTCCAAGGCAGTCTCTAAAAACTTGCTGGAAATCAGTTACAAATCCTTGTATATCAGTACACCTGGGGGTTGCTTAGGTAGTAATTACTGTCTAAGAAGACCAGAAAGAAAAAAAATCATGACAAAGTTTTTCACAGAAACTGTGGATGGATGAGTTTCTGTGGCAGCCATGCCATTGCTGTTGCAGGTACCTGCTGCCACTTAGAGTGATTAAAGCACCAAACACAAAGCGTGGCTTTGGTCAGAGAGTGCCTTCCTCAGCACTGCAGGTCTGCAGTGAGCAACTGGAAAAGACACCAGGTACCACTGGAAAAACCTAAACACGGAACCAGAAATAAGTTAAGGAAGTACCTTCTTGGTTTCAGAGCAACTCATCTCCCTGCTTGCATTTCCTTGTGGGAGGGAAGAAGGTAACCTACATATATGAACCTGGGAGTTGTTTCTCAGGAGTATTTAAATCCTTGGGTATGAATTCACAGTCTGTGGGCACCTCCATACCAAACCAAGGAGAAAGGCAATAAAAGCCAATCCTAAACCACCTGCCTCTGGACTAAGAAATGGTGGTGCTGGCTTGGAATAATTGTTATCTTTGAGAGCAAGGGCAGTTACTGCAGGAACAGGTAGAAACAACCACTCTTGACAGCAGGACCTGAGCTGGGAGCTTTGCAAGGCACAGCCTCACCACTGTGCCAGTCATCTGTGGACGTCCCAGCTCCCCAGGGATGTCTGGCACTGTTCTGCACTGCCTTGTGCAAGCATCAAGCCAGCAGAAATCATTAAAATTGATCGTGTTCCATGCTCTTCTGTACTTAACATGAACAAAAATCTTCCCCCCAAAAAATCCTGTGTTTCTTTGTAAATGACTTAGTACCAAGGAAAAAGAATGAGATTTAACACACACAGTGTTAAGACCTGTTGACATGAAAGATGAAAACCCCTTAAAGTGTGGTATGGCACCATGCTTCTGAGATCTAAGCTACTGTTACCCAGTGAACATATCAGATCAGTGGAGTGAATGTACTGTGAATATACACCTGTATCCCAAGGTGAGAACACAAGTCATGATACCATCTATGCTACCCTATATGAATAATGAAGAATAGTTTTGGTAAAGTGCTTCAATCTTCCTCTGAAAAAAGTTATGAAAATATAAGTTTTGGAAACATCTCCTTCTTTAAGAAGCAGATCTCTTTGTTTCCTTGCTACAATAGCACTTGCATACAGTAAGCACTGAATTTCTGCCTCTACTATCCATTTGCTTCCAAGCTAGATTAGATCAGGAACAACACATCTGGATGTAGAGGAAAATGCCACTGTCTGGCACTGTTAAAAATTCTGTGAAAGCCTTTGGCTTCAATGAACATTATCAAAACAGAAACTTCTGAATAATAATTTAACAAGAATTAAAAGAGCAGATTCATAGCAGAACAGGACATAAATGCCACAGTATATTTTCATTGGGAGGCAAATCTGCAGGACCTGTTAGTGATGTTTCGAATATGTTGTGCTGAGGGCTGCTCTCAGGTACACTTCACACCCAACCCTCCAGCAGCTGGAGTTGAAAGCAGAAGTATCAAATGTTGAAAGACATCTGAGACAGAAGAGAAGTTTTTTGAAAAAACATAAAAAGGTTTGAAAACACATATCTTTGATTCAGTGAATGATTGTGGAAGATCCCATTTATTAATAGATCTGAAATACTGTGGCTATTTTTGAAGATGTTGCCAAATGTAATTGTTTTAGCAGTATGTCAGTTTGAAATTAAAAAGCACAATTTTTTTTTCATCTTATTAGCCCTTCAATGACTACCCAAAAGAAACTCAAGCACACAATAAAAGACATGTCTCCTACTGCTCTTTGCATTATTACAGCTTTATGAAAATATACTGTGACATCCAACGTGTTGTAGAGGTGACTGAGACAGTGACAGCAGCAACAAAACAAAAAAACAAACAACCCACCAAACACTGAAAAGATAAGCACCCTGGCAAGTGCTTATTCATATAGGCATAACCCGAGCTAAGGACATAAGGCATGCTCCAAAAACCTCAGAGATCACCTGGGGCTCACGGGGATGGCTGCTGCTGTCAGAATTCTTATTCCAACATCCCGAGGGAGAGAAGGGGGCTGGGGGGGGGAATGAGGACAAAGGGAGGAAAGAAAAACTTTAGAAACTGTACCCTTGCTGTCAAAAAGGCTTCAAAGTCAGCTGCCATCTTGACATGAGGTTGCAATTCCTGTTACCATACCTTTTTAGACAGAGGGAACATGCTTAGTGAACGGATCCCTCATTTGTTTTCAAGAAAGATTAAATGTAAAGTGTTAGGGGGCTGTTTCTTTGTTTGTTGGTTTGTTTGTTTTTAAAAAGAAACACCTCAGCTAGCTCCAAACACGTCTTTTTCTGATTCTGGAGACTGGGGCCTCGATATTTCAAACAACTCCTGGGGTGACTGGGAGCTTCTTCTTGAGGTCAATATCCTAAGTATCTCAGCAAGCTGGTTTTCTATATTGGTCATTTTTGTGTTTAAAGCCTTGATGTCCTCTTTCAACTCATGCTTCACTTCTAGCATGGTGGCCTGAAGAGTCTGTTCTGGGATGGGATAAAAGGAATGCTTGACCTCGGTGAGGACCGGGCTGTGGTCCTGCGGGCTTCTCGTCTCCCCCGCGTTATCCAAGCGCAAGTCACTTTTTGTAATGCCACTGTCACAAGAGTCTGTCTTCTTCAGGGTAGCTTCTCCTGAAGCTTTAGTTCTCTCAGGTAAAGTCTCCATGGACTCTGCTTTAGAGACCTTGTTCCAGTCTTCGCCCTTCCCACAGGCCTCCTTGAACTTGGCCCAGCCTTTGCGCCGGGGGTACTCCCCCGAGGCCTTGCAGGCCGCGTGCTCCGCCGGCGGGGCCTGCAGCTTGGCCTGGTCGGAGGCCGCGGAGGTGGAGGCGGGCTGGTAGGACACGGGCGTCGCCGGGCTCTCCCGGACCGTCACCACGCTGGCCTTGACCACGGCACGAGCGGAGGACTGCTCCCCGACGGCATTGCCCTTCTCCACATCCAGCTCGTCCGGATCGCGGCCTCTCTCCGCCGCGAGCCGCGCTTCCTTCTGCTGCCTGAACCGCTGGAACAGCCGCCGCACCGGGTGGTCCGGGGGCAAGATCAGGGGCGCTTCGTTCTTCCTCTTCATCCTCTCCTCTTCTTCCCGCTTGACGTCGCTGATTTTCCGGAACACAATCTACAGGGGGAAAGAGATTTCACTCTGTGATTAACTGCACGCTTGTTAAGGGGGAAAAATTGGAGAAAGAATTGTTTGAAAGAATCTATTTTAACTGAGACTTGCACAACCTCTGCACATTTATAGCAACATTTTCAAATGTCTTACGTTCTGTGGAAGGTGGCTTATTTCATTATTTAAGAGCAGACACCATCTGTCTTATAATACCAAAAAGAAAAAAAACCAGAAGAAAAATACTTCTCCAGCTCTGACAGTCAGAGTAAGGCAGTGCCATTGTAAATATAATGATCCCAGGAAGATACTTGTTCTATTTTGTGTTAAAAAGTGACTTCTTGTATTTGTTTTCCTGACTATATGATTCAGTACCAAGTTTCTAATGTTACAGAGCCATTCCCATCAGTCTCATCTCAGAGCTCACTCACTGCAAATGATCTGATACTATTTCAGTGCAGCTTGGCCACTCGTGGTGCCAGTACAGCAGAGACTACTCTGGACTCTTCAACAGCAGTTTGCAAAGTGCTTCTTGCCCTCCCTTCCTCCCACATATCCTCTTAGAAGCAACACACAGTTTAAGGATGCAAAGCTTGAGTCAATCCCAAAGCCAGGGGCACAAGGACAGTGGGAGATGGGCTTGGCAAGACATGGGGTAGCTGCTCATGGCTTGATTACCTCAGAAGCTTGTAGAGCTTCATGCCTTAATTTATCTCTTTATTTCTATGCAAAAGAGAACATTTTGCACAAAGAAGCATTAATTTTCCATCTACCCTCCTAATTCTATCTTCCTGAGCCTCTAAGGCTAATTGATCTCTACAGGAGCAGCCCAAGGATCCCTCCCACAGGTTGAGATGCTGTGAGGCTTCTAATGAAAAAAGCCTCACATCATCTCAACCTGTAGCCAGGCAAGGTTTCTTCCTTGCATGTGATGGAAATACATTCCCTTCAAAAAGTCTGTGCATTTTACATCAGTATTGGTATTTTTCAGGCCAACCCAAAAACTCCACTCTGGCACTAATGAAGAACCAGTAAGTAGCCTAGTTTGAAAATGAGAGGTCCCCAAAGCTGAAGTTTGCAATACAGAAGGTAAAAGATGCAGCCCACAGCTTCTACTGAACATTGATATCTAATCCCTTTAGCTGCTTTGGGGAAAATCCACTTAAAGACCTTACACTTCAATGCAGAAATAACTTTGAGATTCAAATCATTATTAGGAAATGTGTAAATAAACCCATCCCTCTGTTGCAGACAAATTTAAATTAAACTAAAGTTAATAAGCACTTCTTCACTGGCACACACAAAATGAATGTTTCTCCAGACTCCAATGCTTCTTGACAGTTTTGTCATTGTGGAGCAGGGAAAAAACCATCTTAACAGTGCATCTTTGGAAGGAAGAAGTTGTCAGACTTGGCAGCATTTCCTAAATACAAAAGAATAAAATTAGCAGGAAGGATATTTTATTTCCAAGCTGTAATTAGGAAACTAAATATGAGATAAGAATAAGAAAACAGGGTACTTGACAGTCTTTTTTTTCTTCCCTCCAGGAAACTCACTTTGCAATGAGCTCAGTAGAAAGTGGACAAAGCAGTATAATCCTTAGAAGTGAAAGAATAGCACTCATAGGAATTCAATGCAATCCTGAAGGCCAATAGCTTCCCACACACTGGCAGTTTCCCACTTTACCTGAGGGATGATGAGTGCCAGCCCAGTGTTAGGGCAACTGTCCCTCATGCTCTGCTGGAGCCAAGTGATGCCAGGCAGGGTCCCAGGGGGTCACTCAGCAGCATCCTGAGGCTGGCTCTGGGGGGACAATGCCCCAGCAAACCAAGGCAGCTACCTGACCAAGCCAGGTCAATTTGTCCCTGCAAAACTCTGTGTCCCTAAGCCTTCCCTCTCCTGGGGTTTGTCTGTTAGGTGTGGATAACTACATCTGTGGCAGATGTAGCTAACAGGGCTCACTCTGTACATGAGCATGTTGTCTTGGTCTGACCTATGGATCGGGACTTGCCTTAAATGCTCAGAAGGGATGTGTGACTGACTGATGTAGTGGTCACACTCACAGGGATCATCAGGGAAGGCTTTTCAGACCCAGAGGCCAGGATGCTTTGCAGAGTCCATGTCTAGGCCAGACCCTGCTCCACACAACCCAATCAGCACTTGTCTGGAAAGTACTTGAGCATCTCTTGCTATTTAATGCCTGGCTTTTGCAACATAAATGGGTAAGTTATGTAACAGAAGCTGTCTCTGCTACAGCACCCTGCAGGAGAGACAGCAATGACCAAGTCTCAAGCAATCAATCCCACATTAACAGCCTGGCCCAGTCCATATTAGCCCCAGCCACTGCACCTCAAGCAGTTAATAGCATGACCTCTGTGGTGGAGGACACAATAAATTTACCAGCAAATGCAGAAAGGTGAGCACTGATGGACAAGCCGTTGGCAGCACTTACCCACCCACAGCCCCCACTGCTCTCCATGGCACTGCCTAGGTAAGCCCCCCTTTGGATGCCAGGCACACTTGGCCATGGAGGAGCTGCCATCAGCCTTCCCACCATGTGGTGGCCAGCCTGAGAGACCCAAACACACCTTCCCTGCTTTGCCTTCGGGAGATCCCACTGCAGCAGGAACAGGAGTGTGTGTAGAAGGAGATGTATAAACCTTGCCTTTGCCATGGGTACTGCCACCACATCCCTGATTTCCATTTTCCACAAGGCCTTACACCAGCTCCAAGGGAAGTGCACCAGGGCAGCAGCCACTGCATGAATGCAGAAATGCAGCCCTTGGGTCTCCCACCCTGCCTGACATCTTCTAGAGATGCACATTTATGTGGCAAGCTGTGCTCACACAGTGCAAGTCAAACATACACACATTTGCCAGGGGACATCCCTCCAACTCTTGGGCTGGCTCTTTTTACCTGACTCCTGAGACAGTGGAGAAAAACCTGTCAGACAGCAATTTCTCTTTGGGAAGCTCAGACAAAGCTGTCCCTTGTCTCCCTTTCTGCAAGTTCCCCAATGCTGAAGTTTCTCCAGACAACTCCATATTTGTGTTGTAAGCAAAAATATTACAGCTATGCAAAACTCTGCAGTAATTGAAAATGCATTCATAAACTCCACTTTGGATTTTTTTTCTGCCTTTTTTTAAAGATTAAATGCTCCTTATAAATAAAAATACACATAACTTTAAAGTTGACTTTTTTCTTATAAATGCTAAGGAAAATATCGTTTTCAAGTGGTTTATTTTCAGCAGCAGCCAACTTATTCAGACAATCTGGCTGGTATGCCAATGGATGTACACCTGCTCCCACAAGCAGTAAGAGTACAAAGGAAAAGAAAACAGATTTCATTTGTTATAAGGAAGAGAAGTCTGGACCTACTTTTTCATATGGAATTTGATAGGGCTACAAATATGACCTTACTCAAAGTTAAAACCCAAAATATTGTTGTAAAGATCCCAAGCTAGCTTTTAGAACCGTACCTCCTTAACCCTTTCTCCAAGCATTCATGTCTGTCTGGGAAGGTACAGAGCTTTATACCCTCAAAATCTCCTAGACTGTGTATCATACACTGCTCAAACACAGGGGACTTCACAAGTTATGCAGTTCTCCAGAACACTGCACTCTTCAAGACCTAAGCACACAGGTCCCACAGAAAAAACCTAGTGGGAGCATTTTAACAGTATGTCAAAACCCAAAAGATGGACCAAGAACCTGAATTGAGATGAAACAACATGAAATTTAAACACCAGGCCTAAAGCTGCATATTTCACACCTCCAATCTCAAGTCTCATTTCATAATTCTGCTTTTATTAAAAAGGTGCTGAATCTTGTACGTCCACAGGGAAGCTGCCCAAGCTGCAAGAAGTTGGAGTATTGTGGAGGTATCAGCCTAGATTTGCCAAAACCTTGAAAAATAGCCCTGTTAGGCACAGATTCTTGCAATTGTATGAACATTTAACCAAGACATGCAGTGATGATGGCTCTACAACAATTTCATTTTTTGGAAAATTCACTCAGAAACAAGTGGAGAAATGCACTGACACGTTCCTGGTGCACTCCTGCTCCTCTGTATCCCTACAGACCTATGACAGAATGCTCTCTGTGACCATAATCCTGCCTGTGCAGGAGTCCTGTCCAAGAAAGAAAGACAGAGTTGCACCAAGCACTTTTCCCTTTCCTCAGTATTATCTAGTTGTGAAGTCTTAAGTGACTTTGGGTAAAGTCATTTAAGTCTGCCTCTTTTGAATCATCACAGAATTTTCAAGTTGTATTTCCAGAATAAATGTTTTTACAAATTAAAGTCAACATATTAAAAAAATGAAGTAGACATAATTGAATACTTGGTTGTCAAATGTGGATTGCCCAGCAACTGTTACAAGTATTTTACTGTGCTCAGCACTGAAACCCAAGCATCGTTTAAATAACAGAGTGTGGACATTATTTGCAAATATGACTTTCATAATTTCTTTATGATAAGACCAGGAGAACAGATGGCATTGTGACCCCCAAGATTAAGGCAGGCCATAGGATTGCTCTGAAGGGGCATTCCCTGGAAGGAATCTTGTTACCACTAGATTGCATCTTTTAGAAAAACATCCAGTTTGATGGCAATAAGGAATCCATCATGACATCTAGATGAAACATTGCTTCACTTTTTGATTCAAGGCTAAGTTTCATTGAATAATAGAATTATAGAATCATAGAATGGTTTGGGTTGGAAGGGACCTTAAAAATTGTCTAGTTCCAACTTCTCTGCCATGGGCAGAGACAGCTTTCACTAGACCAGATTGCTCAGAGCTCCAGCCAACCTGGCCTTGAATGCTTCCAGGAATGGGGCATTCTCAGTTTCTCTGGCAACCCTCACAGTGAAGAATTTTTTCCTATTATCTAATCTAAACCTACTCTCTTTAGTTTGAATCCATGAGTTGAGTCCTGTCACTACAGGCTCTTTTAAGAAGTCCTTCTCCATCATTCTTGTAGATTCCCTTCAGGTACTAGCAGGCTACAAT